CTGTGAGGGCGGCCCCGGCCCCGGCCCCCCCCGTCCCGGGAGCCCCGCGGGTCCCCACGGCCGCGGCCTGCGGAAAGCCGAAACGCCCCTGCGGGGGACAGTCTCCTCAGGCCATCGCCACGCCCCTGGGGGCCGCTGGGTGCGGAGAGGCGCCCCGGGTCACGCACACCCCCCAGGCGGGGTGGGCAGGGAGCTCTGGGGGTGCGACCCCCTGCGGGCAGGGCCACCCGCCGCATCTGGGCGGCTCCAGGGATGGAGAGGCCATCGCCACCCCGGACAACCTGTGCTTGGTCACCCTCGGGGCAAAAAAGTCTTTCCTGATGTTCTGAGGGAAACTCCTGCGGCTGAGCCCGAGCCCGCTGCCCTGGTGCTGGGCTCTGCTGGGAACGGCTTGGCTCTGCCCTCTTCCCCCATCGGGTGTTTGTGTACATTTTGACACCTCCCTGAGCTTTCTCTTCTGCAGGCTGCACCAACCCAGCTCCCTCATCTCCTGGAGAGATGCTCCACAGACCTTCATCATCCTCACAGTACATCCATGTCTCTCTTCTACAGGGGAGCCCAGAACTGGAGCCACCATTTCTCCCTGTTGAACTTTGAGGCCAATAGATCATGGCATGTCAGGTTTTTAGCAGTCTGCCATGCAGATTATGTGCATGCCAGGGCAAGAGCTGGGCTGGCCGACAGCTCCTTGGGCTGCGTCTCGGCTCAGGTCCCTACTCTGAAGAGCAAGACGAGCCGGCAGTTTTCAGGGGCTTAACAAAACATGCAGCCAAGGAGCCAAGCATCACTCCTGACCACTCACACCAGGCAGAGCCTCCTGTGACTGCTCGTAGGTAAAGCATCCCCCCATGGGAACGGAGCCCCCGCTAAGCCCAAAATTAAAGGGAACACCTTAAAAAACAGGGGAAACAACAGAGGAGCAGCTGGCTCAAGACACTTCTTTGGGATCATTCCTCCCAAAATGTGGGTTTTTCCATCCCTTCCCAGGCAGGGTGGTGCCATCCCCATCACCACCACTGCCATGCTAAGGCAGGGGGCTACAGGTCAGAGGGATTATTTTGGGTGACACCAGCCCAAACCAGAGCACCTCAGATCCTTTGGAGGAAGACCTTGTGCTGCACTGGCAGACTAGATACTGTCTGCATTTGTTACCACTTAAAAGTGCCATAAAATTAAGCTTCCCAGCATGCTGGAGCATTTCCAGCTGAAATCAAGTTTCTAGCAGCAGCTTAGTGCCCCTACACAGTTATACCCAGCACTCCCCAGCAGAAGACAGCTACAGAGTCACTGCCGTGGAGGTCAAGGGCATTCACCCTCCTGCTGCCCTGATTCCTTACGCCTTTAACCCATCTCCCCCCAGATAAGAGGCTGCTTTGCGTGGGCTAGAGAAGAGCAAGACCAATTAGATCCACCAGCCCCTTTTCCTAGCCACTGCATCATTGCCCACAGAGCAATTCCCAACTCTGTCCAGGCTAATTCAAAGCCCTAATGCTCCCCTGGGGAGATGCCCCACAGCCTAATTAATAGTTGCTGATTAATAGATTCTACAATATTTGAAACAAGCCTATAAATAATGCAAAAACACTCCTGTGTTTTGCAAAGAGCAATCCTAGAAGCTCCTGAAGGCCACGTGCCTCTGCCTCAACAGTACTTGTGTGTGAGACGCGATTTGGGTAGGGGGGACTAAACCGTAGGGGACGTATTCTGCTGCTCCAAAAAGCGGTCCAGAGTGTCACTGGCAGGTGCGTGCTGAGCTGCTGAGGAGCAGCATGGTTTATCCATCAGCTCCTGGCTGTGGGAAGAGCCAGCGAGACTCCTCCAACCACCACTGGTGAGAGTGATCTCTGATGTCTAAGGCTCATCCAGGTTGTCCCCATTGCTGGTCACGAGAGCTGGAGAGACCCGGCAAAGGCAGGAGTGACTGGCAGGCGGCACCGCTCCAGGCTCAGCCTGAATTTCCCCCGCTGCAGCATTTCCCTTCATCCCTTCCAAACAATGCCAGCTGGGCTGCCAGGCTCTTCTGATTAAAAGATATTTCACCAAACAGATCACAACAGTTCAATAAGAATAGTAGCAACATTTTTAATTAAAAAAAACCCAAACCTGGCCAATCACAAAAGAGCCCTCGGCCATAACATGAACCGCTTCTGAGGTAAGATGTCTAAAGACAGAGCTGGGACAGGGAGACAAGAGTCGGGGAGTGTGGGGACTCTGGATACTTACCCCAGCCCCTGCTGTCACGTTGGAGCACCAGGCTTTGCACCAACATGCCCTCAGGGTCAGGAGCACGCAGAGGCAAACCTCTCCGGGGTTTGAAGGCAGCTGAGGCCACACTGCAGGGAAAACCCACAAGCATGAAGCCTGGTTGTGCCTCCCTCCTCACTCTTACCCAGGAGAGGAGGAGGTAAAAGCAGCCTTTGCTCCTCTCCTTCTGCCCTCCACACATTTTCCCAGCTCCTTCTCCAACCAGTATCAATTAAAGGTGCAAAGTCCTTCAGTAAAGAAAGTTTAAAGCCAAACACAGCTAAATCAGATCTTGCTCTACCATCACGCCAATGTGAAGCAGGAGCTGAGGTCTCTATTTTCTCCCCCCCTTCTCTTACCATCTTTGTGCATGGGTGCTGCTTTTTGGAGACACCTCATAAACAAAAATTAGTTTGCAACCACAAATCCACACTGGTTTCACCCTGAGCAGGTATCAGAATGGCTTTTAATTTGGGTGCTTGACACATCTATGGGGAAGGTAGTGTGGCTGTGCATCAGGGCTGGTGTTGGAGGTAGTTTGCCAGGACCGCCGGGATCTCCAGCTCACCGAGCGATGGCGGGCGGCCAGCCTGCTTCAGGAGGCGTCTCATCACCAGCCTGGACTGAGACATCAAGGACTTGGGATGAGCTGCGTAAGGAGAAGGAGGAAAATGAGATGGACACCTTCAAGACACACAACCCTCTCCCCTCCAAACTGGGCATTATCCTAAGCCAAGGGACATCAATAAACCAAGTGTCTTTGCTAGGGCTGGTGGTGCTGCATACTCAGCCACAAGCTTCATAGCATGTGCTTCACTGGAGCTGGACATAGAGAGATGAAATCTTCCACTGTCATACCGAAATAAATGCAGATTTTCTGGACATAGTACAGGAGAGCCAAAGCTGAGCAGCAGAAAGGAGAGGAATGGCAAAAAGCAGCCTTTAACCCAACGACTGATATTAAGTGGAAAAAACAGGCTGTGGAAATCCCCATGTGCTCCAGACCAGCACTGACCATGGCAAGGATCCTCACTGAAAGCAGCTTCTTTAGCAAGTGTCTAGAAATACTGATGAAAAGCAGGTGCTGTGGTGAGTCCCAGAGGGAAGATAACCACGTAAATGTACATGGTGGCTGCACTGAGTCACATCCCAGATCCTAAACAAGGTAACCCACCTCCCATCACAGCCAGCAGTACAAATTGAGGATATTTGGTAGATATTTATTGGAATCAAGCCCTCCTATGACAGTCTCCTCCAAGTCCCAGCAATTTGTTTCAGGAATATCCTGCGGCAGCCTATATATCTAAGTCATCAGATTTAACCACTGGTGGTGGACCTATTCTCCTTAAACTTGTGATGTCCTTCTCCTGCTGTGTTCAGTATTGGAGACTTGGGGTTTTTGGCCTGAACACAGCAATTGTTGGAGGAGAGGGAGGAATAAGAGTTCAGAGTAAAATAGTAGTAATACTCAGGAGTTTAAGACTAGAGAGACTCATGCAGTAAAGTGATGCTGCAAAGCGAGATGAACCTTGTAGGAAAGCCTGGGTAAGGCTATTGGAAAGCAGAGGTAAAGGGAAGAGGAATCTGAAGCCACTTGCACCCAAATGAGAAAAATTAATGCTCATTTCCAGCCCCGGGGCCACAAACAGAGATTACCTCTCGCCTGCAGCAGCAGCTCCAGGCCCTCGCTGTGGGGTGCCATCTCATCTACTGTGACACTGGGCAAGTACACGTTGGCTCCAAAGTCAATGAGCAGCTTGATGAAATTGCTCCTGCAGCCGTGCCGCAGGCAGGTTTCCAGCAGAGTCTTGGGCTCCTTGATCTGGGCAATCACCCTCTCCTCGGTGCAGTTATAGTCAGGATCGGCACCGTAAAGCAACAGCATCTTAAAGCACTCCAGATGCCCGTACACGGCAGCAAGGTAGAGGGGACCGGAACAAGCCACCGAGTTAGCAGCCCACTGGGGCAGCCTTGCTTGAACGTTGGTTTCTGCGCCGTGATCCAGGAGCTGCTGCAGGATGTCCACATTCCCGTCCCTCGCGGCGATGAGCAGTGGCGAGCAATTGTTGTAGATGCTGCCAACGGGGCTGGCCCCCGCATCCAGGAGGACCTTCACGCATTCCCGGTGGCCATTGCTGACTGCCATGAAGAGAGGGGTTTGAGCCTTCACATCCAGGCTGTCCACCTCCGCCCCATGGGCCAAGAGGACCTTCACACTCCTGACACAGCCCCAGGTGGCAGCCAGGCGCAGGGGGGTGCTGGGTACACCCCAGCCACTCCTCCGGTTGATGAACCTCTTGTACTTGTCTTGGGATAAGAGGTTATCTAGGGTTTCATAATCATCCTCAGATACTGCTCGGTTCAGCTCCTCACTTTCTCCATTGTCTTCTTCATCTTCTTTAGGCTGGAGCATGGAGAACATTTTAGTGATATCCATTAGGCTCATTTTTTTGGATCCGTCTCCCATGTACCACTTTCATCATAAAAGGTAAAGCCAAAGATCTATGGGACAACAAAACCAGCACCACCAGTGGGTTAGAACCAGCCTCCTGACACCAACACCATCTTTCATTATTTTTTTAATACACAATTTAAGGAAGATTATAAAAAAAAACCAAACAAAACCAAACCCCACATTGGATTATGATGCTGCCAACATGCTTATCACCCTGCCACCACAGGTGAGGAAATCCACACTGGGGAAGGGCTAAGGCAAGGATGGAGGTCATCACTGTAGCATGTATGTGGGTCACCTCCACTTAAAATGTTGTGATCAAGAACATGCTGAGATAATTGAATCTGGTGTTGGAGTTCAAACACGGCTCACAAGAGTTCAAACGGAGCTCACAGGCTTTTATAACTTTCTTTTTTGAAATTATTTAATGCTGTACTGCTAGACCCTGAGGCAGTAAAAGGTATGAGACTACTCATGGGATACTCAGACCTTGAACTCAGTAAGGCTCTTGGGTGGCCACAGGCTCTTGCAAGGACTCTACACCCCACTAGTGGATGAAGCCACCCATTTTCCCAAAACCCTCAGAAGTCACCCCATCCAGCTGTCCTTTGGGGAAGCCACTGAGTGAAGAGCACATTGGAAAAGAGCAGGAATCAGCTCTGCTTTGTATCAGCCAAGGCTTCTGCTGATCTGCACTTCCAAATATCTTGGGACCCACAGAAAACTCAGAGTTTTTATTTAGAAGCTGGCAGCATTGCAAGGTTTTTACACCCTGCCACTGTTTTTAAAGGGATTAGATTTCAAAATAGGAGATGAAGTGAATGGGAAGGTGGCTGGTTTGATTAAGGACTTTCAGCATCACCCTTCCTGAAACAATGTTGATATTTGAATTCAGCAAACCTTCTACCCTCTCCTGCCTACTCAAGCCCAAGGAGCATGGCTGCAAGAAGGGTCTTGCCTTTTTATAGCAGGTAGCACAGAGTGGTGGGAGGAAGGCAAGGGATGCTCAACTGATCACAGCAGAGCCAGGGCTGAGCCCCAACACATTTATACCAGGCACTTGGTGCAGGATCTGCCTCCCCATAGCCGAGCAACAGTGTCGGGGAGGAATGCGATGCCCCAGTCGGCGGCACCTGAGCAGCTGGGAAACACCACCCGCTGGGAAGGGCAGAGGAATTTCTCACCACATCGCAATCCCATAGCATCTCAGATTTCCTTGGGGAGAGGTGGCAGTGGCAGAACTCTGTCTCACTAAGCAGCTCATCAGATTCTCCCTGGGAGGAGGCAAGGAGCTGCACTGAGCAATTAGCCTCTTTCTGCAAAGCCCAGCAGTAAGGAGACAGTCACAGGAGGCTCGGCCCACATCTGCCTGCGGTGGCAAGACATGCAAGCTTGGAGGAAGCCCCCATGCAAAGCCACCTTTGCATCTTGGTTAAGCAGAGCAAGCTTGATAGCAGTGAGCGACAGCAAAGCTCTGCTGCACTTCCACCTGTTTACATGAACATGGATGATTTAAATAGAAATATGTGAAATAATAACATTACTGTTATTCATCAGACATGCTGATAACAAGCTCTAGACCTTTGGAAACCCACACCCCACACTCCCCCCAGCTAATGGGGTAGGGGCTTATTGCAGATTTGATTCAAAAAGGTGGCCCAGTTATATTCCTAAGGGAAATGGTCTGGAAAAGTAAAAAAAAACAACCTGTAGCATTTCTATAAGCCTCTCCAAAGGGACCTTAATTTGACAGCATAGTGTTCGCATGGGAAGCTCACAGATGTTCCTCAACTACAAGAGCCCAAAACAGAGTGGTCACCTTTTGAGCTGAAGGAAGCTGTCCTTGTCTCTGCAGCCCCCTCCCCCCGAAGTTATGACTGGAGCTAAAGGTGACAGAGAACACACTCACACTTTTACCGCTGGTTACCAAGTTACCTTCAAGTGCCCGATGCTGCCTTGGCTTCATTATGCTGCTGCCTTACCTTTGAGAGGTAGATGCTCACAGCCAGGGTGGGCGAGGCAGCAGTGATCCCATAAAAAAAAAAAAAAAGAAGAGAGATAGAGGATCTTGCTGTGTTGGGGATGGACGTCCGCTCTGTGCAACCGGAATGACACAGGCTGTCAAGCTCACAGCTGAAATGCCACCGCGGGGAGAAGGGCCAGAGCTCGCTGGGGCTAATTTTAGCCCCTCAGGGGTTTTATCTTACCACTTCCATTCTTGGAAAGTTCCCCTGGGTAAATATAGAGAGGGGCAGCGAGGTGGGGGAAGGCTGGGACAGGTGCTGGAGGCTGCTTGACCCATCCGAGCAAACACAAAGCATTTACTTCACCATTTCCTTGCATAAATCGCAGGGTACCAGGCCCTTTTGAGTCCCCAGCCAGGAGAGCACATTCCCTGCTGCAGCACCAGCCTCTACATTATCCTGACTGCCTTTTCCACTTTTAGAGCAATACAAATGACCATTCATAACATTCAGAATTGTTTATTAAACACAAGAAGGACAAAAGGCCCTGAAGACAGTCCAGATTTCTCACCTGAGCATTCCGTAGGTTTCCTTCCCAGCTACACCTGCCAGAACAAACCACTTCTTTGGCTTCATAAAATTAAGTAGCACATAGCAAGGCAGGAAACTTTACAGGGGCAAACAAAAAAGCAGGGAGCAGTGTTTGGGCTGTCTTATCAAAAGCTGTCAGCTGGTAAGTGTAATCGTATTTTATCCAGCTCCCTTTAAACCTTTTCCAAACTTTTCGGCAGTGGAGCAGGAACAGTCTGACAGTTTGAGGCAGCGTTTATCAGTGGTTCTAGATAACAAGAGGGGAACCAAATTATCCAGCAGAAAAATCTCCACTGCAGCAAGAAATAATATCAGGGGGCTCTGCAAAACATTCATGACAACCCTGCTGTCACCACCAGACTCACATTTGTAGTCAAGACTGTGAAAAACATGGAGAGCAGGAAAACGTTCAGTATTGACAGGTTTTAGACTTTTGGCTTCCTCAGTTTCACTTTCTCTAAAATCACTCACAAATAGATTGTTAATTCAAAAAGGCCAATTTCCCTCAAAGTCAACTCTATGAATGGAATTATCAAGTAGGATAGATGTGGATAAACATCAGAGCAAAAGTGGGGAGTACAGGGTTTATTAACCATCAAGAAGCTGCAACCACAATAGGGATGCTGCAGCCAGAGAAGCCACGGCTGGCTGGAAACCCCTTCAACAAGATGCAGAAATAAAAGCAGCATCTAAAAGAACAGTGTATTACAAAGGGGAAAAAAGAGGGATACAGACAACAAAATGAATACGTGTTAGAAAATATGAAATGTAGGAAACTGTAAGGGAACTTGGGAGATGAAAGGAAAATCCTTGAATGGAAAATTTCATTATAAACTGCATATTCTTTTGTTGTTGGTGGTGCTGCTGCTTTTTAGTTGTTAACCAAGAAAAGAAATCTTAGAAACAAGACCAGCTCTTTGGTAAGGAACAGAGATTAAACTGAATACTAATGAAGCAAAAAGTATGAAGTACTTGCTGATAAATTCACCCTCAACTGGAAGAATGCAAACTGGCATACTCATTGTGCTCCCTTAACAGTCAAAGAAACATCTTAAATAGCATCCTGCACAAATATTTAAATCAGCAGATTCAGATAAACCCCTGTTTTAAGTAAGCTTCCCAACACTTTGAACACCGGGGAAGGCTGGAGTCAGGAGAAGCTTTCACCTTCTGCCTGAGCTCCAAGCACAGGCTGGCTGCCACCGAGCCACTGGCTGACCCGACACGTGCTCCAGGCAAAGCAACTCCTTTATCAGCTCTCCACTAATTGGGGAAGAATTAAAGGGCAGAAGTCTATTTAATGACAGTAAAGAAGGTTTTTTGGGAAGGTAAATCTTGTCCAGCGATGTTTCTTCCATTAAAGAGATTATAGTTATTAACACAGCTGAAAAGAGGTAATGAGCTTTCTGATTTAACACCACTAAGCATTCTGATTTAAAAGTTCAGCGCTAAACAGTACCAAATAAATATTTAGCGGGGATTAAGGATTTACTAACAGTCCTCAAGGTCAGAAATGCACAGTTATTGCATGGGGCTACGTCTGACTCCTGCCTCTGAGCTGTCAGTCACTGCCAAACCGCAGCAAAGCCTTCGAACTTGGGAGTTGCCCTCCCCGCCGATCAGAACATCTGCTCACAGCTTTCCGGCACTTACACCTGCCTGTTCCACTGGGCGCCTTCTCACCACCCAGCCTGGAGGTGGCTCCAGCAGCAACGGGTTCAGATACCAACCACGAGAGGGCACAAACACCTGCGGACCATCCCTCGCCTACGCCATGCACCCTCACACCAACAGCTCCCAGGGTTCCTTCTGAGGCACATCACCATTTAATGGATGCATTAACATACAAAATATGTAGCTAGCAGTGAAGGAGGAATCCAGCAACTGTTTCTTCTCCTTCACAAGCTGTAATTCCTTGAGGAATTTTGGCAGCATCAGAGCCCCTTTCCTTTTAGATCCGAGGATGCACTGGAGTCAGCAGCTGTAATCTGATGCGACATGATGATCATTAAGGACCTGAAATACAGAACCCAAAGTCAGCATGTGCCTGCTCTTTGTTACGTGAGTTATCTGTGTAACACTGATCACAGGAATCTGCCTGTTTGCCCCGCTATGCTCTTCTAAAAGTGCTCCAGGGCTGTCAATGCTTCAAAGTTATTCCTGGGAGAACTAGCGGGTCTTCTCTGCTTTTATTTTACAATACTAAAATGTGCTCCTTTTCATTCCAAAGCTCTGAGGAGGAAGTAAAACCTCTAATAATCAGCTCTGAGTCATGCCACCCCCAAAAGCATCTTTGCCCTGAGATCGCAAATCATATATGCAATAAGTGAAGGTTTTTTGTCATTATTCAAAATAGCAGGCGAATAAGAGCAGGCATGGGAGATCTGCTCTTAAAGGGTTTTCCAATAGCAAGTAGGTCTGCAACAACCACCTTTCAGAAACAGAATTTCTAATCCATGTGAATTGCCAGATTTTGCCC